TAGTTCGAGCAATCTGGTTTGGGTCTCACCATTGCTTTGTATCACTTCAAGTAAACGGTTTATTTTGTGACCCACTGTCTGTTCAACTTACCAAGCCTACGTGGCATGCAGGCCGAGTAATTAGTAAGCTAACTACGTCATTTGGTTGTATGCGGGGTGTGCCAACTTGTCGGCCGGCTCGGTCGAGGAGTAAAATTTGTTGATGTTACGTTGGGTGCGCGGCTGACTTCTTAATATTGCGACTGCGACCGAGGAAGGAACACTTTCGACCTTCAGGTTCTAGAGCCTGAAGACAAGGCTACTAGTTCTACAAAGTTCACAAATCGTCGGTGCCGGATTCGGATACAGTGATTATATTCGTAAGAGTATAAGCACGCCGAATCGACACCAGAGTATAGGGACACAAGTACTCAAAACAAATATACGTCTTGATCGTGAAAGTGGTTCGACCGTCAGAATGCCGAACTCTAAAACCTACGAATAACCAATCTTAAACAACTCAGCGTTCGATGTGCCAACCCCAGTAACTCGTAACACTTCACTTTGCTGAAGAGGCTAATGAGATGACCTTTGCCGATAAGGATTCGAAAACCCTTCTCAACCGAGACTTGGATAGATAACCAATCGACCCTGTTGCAGTGCTGTTTATCCAAACTGAAGGTGTTTCACGGTCGGCTGGTTCTATGGCAACAATGTTGTTTATCCAAATTGAAGATGTTCGCCCGTTGCCTTCACAGTGCTGTTTATCCAAACTGAAGATGTGTTGGCGAAAAGGAAAACAAAAATCTCAGGGTTGTTGAGAGGTTTCGCGTAGAGCGAGGATTTGTGCAGGGCAGTTTGTGTGTTGAATTGGAAGGGCTTGTTTCGATGTCTTCCCTCCCTATTTATAGCAGCTAGCCTGTATTGAATCCCAATCACTCCCAGATTAGAACTATTTTCCCTGATTCAACTTTATCTCGGCCAATCCTACTCCTACTAGGACTTTGAACATAACTCGTTATCAGGCCGTATTCAATTCCAGCATCCTGATCCTGTCGAAACTCCTTCTCATGATAGGACTCATCCACATCCCCAATTCCCCGATGGGATATAGCCAATCTCAACTGCGCGGCCCATAAGCTAGATAACCCCCAACGACACCTATACATGGCCTCTGGGCCGAGAAGAATTCTAGACTATTATATATTGTTATAAGATTTGTATTTACTAAAACATATTAGTCTGTTTTTATTGTTCTATCAGACTTAGTTATATCATTAATAAAGTTGTTACAGTTTTTGTTCTGACTACTATATTGGGTTTGTTGTCATTATAACATTTATTACCGTTATATTGATTCGTATATATTCTAATTGTGCTCCAACATTTAGTATTTAACTGAGGTAGATAAAGATGAAATTGTTATCAAACAATTTGAATTTATCTAGCTTTTAGTTCAACCGAGAGGAGTACACCTTAGATGTTGAACAAAATGGAATATAATTTATATGGTTCACATTTTGCTCATTGATTTAAGAACAAAATGCTATATGGTTCACATTTTGCTCACTGACTTGTACTCAAATTATACTTTGATTGAAAATTTGAAAGATATTGTTTTTGGAGGGGTTGCATTTGCATGTGCGAGTATTACTGTGGAGGCAGTGTCACCGACACAAATGGTGGGGCAGCCGGAGGTGGGGCGAAGGCAAAAAGGGCGGCCGAAAAAGTCAGATGAAATGGCCAATGCATCAGCCGTCCCTTGTCGCTTGAACCCCGGCTTTGTCTCTTTGTGTTTTTATTTTTTTTGGCATGGCAAATATAACAGTAGTAACTGGAAGTATCAAATTTTATAGCTTTAGGTTGTCCATGATTTACTTTTACCGTAAAAGACGGAAGCCCCAATGACTCAGTGAGATCCCAGCCGTTTATATCAGCCCAATCATCTCCTCATGGGCCCCGCTAACTCCATTTTCTAAAGGCCTGCAAAACTGGATGGTTGAGTTTTACTCTGCCCTTTGGTGAGATTACATCGCTTTAAAACAAAGGAAAACTAATGAAAAGGGCTTGAAAACTTTGAGTTTTAATGATAAGGACAAAATAAAGGGTAAAGTGAATAGTACCAGGATTGACTTTTTAGTGTAAAAATGTGGTTTTTCGTTAAAGTGAACAGTACCGGGTGCTTTTCGTTAAAGTTCCCTTAAAACAATGGTAGGAAGCGCAAGTGGTCATCTACCAAGGTAGTGAAGATGAGTGCTGTTTTTGCCCTATCGCATGGATTCGAACTTCATCGACTCTTTAATCTCACATATAATCTATTAAATTTATTGTTTGACAAAAAAATAAAAGCAATGGTAAGAACCTCATAAGGTAGTAGGTTTGGATACTAGCAGCTCGTTTGATGATAGAAAATATATACAAAAAAAAAACTAATGATAGAAAATATGTACAAAAAAAAACTAACACACTTGAAATTTTCTTATAATTTTAATTTGTAATTTTACAAAATTAAAATCTAAATTTTAAAAACTGAAAACAGATAATTATAAAACTACCCCTTGCTAACAAAGTTCTTAATAAATGGACTCTACTATTGAGTGTATCACTTGCATTATAGAGATCAATTTGTGTGTTCAAATAACATTACTAGTAGAAATGAAGTTTAAATAATAGATAGTATTATTCACACACCTATTTTTAGGTCCTACAAACTCTTTTTAATTTTTTACCATTGATCTTTTTCAATGGACACAGAACCGAGGGCAATGACGTTTTAGGATTCATATAGCCGACCCCACTTAGTGGGAAAAGACTTTGTTATTGTTGATCTTTTTCAATTGATTCAATCCGACAGTCGAAAATTGAAAGGAGTGTACGAGAAGTATAATGGTGTATGGATAGCACTACCTTAGAACTCATTTGGAAGTGCTTTTAAAATGATTGAAACCGCTTTTAGTTAAATTGATTTTGGGTTCAAAAGAAGTGCTTTTTGGAAGATGCATATATACTTCGTGCAGGAAACCCTTAATGTGCTTTTTTCAAGATTCACTTGGATTTTACCAATGATTGGTTTCAAAAATATTTTTACGAATAACGTTTTTAGTTATTTGAAAAACACATTCAAATTAACTATTAAATAATAGAACAAAACGAGCTCTTGATTATATAATCCACTTTGGAATTCTACCCATTTTATTTGCCGATTATAAGATTAGGAAGAAAAGGTTTGGAAAGTTATGACTCATGAACGAATCATGATAATGCTTACAAACATGTCTTTTAAAATTCCTACGATCATGGTTAGTGAGATTTGGACTTTTTCTTTAACTAAACTACTACTTGAGCTCAAATGATTTGGAGGAACAAGTATCTTTGACATTGGTCAACTTGTGAACAACAACGAGATTCTACCACACCAACAACACATGATTGGTCAACTTGTGAACAACAACGAGATTCTACCACACCAACAACACATGACATAAACAAAATATTGCATGAATCGTTAAAAAATCAACATAATTCAACAAATTTACGGTTCAAACATTGTTCGTATAGTAGACAATTTTCTAGAAACACACTTAAATCCAAAGGTTCATTTTGGTGCACCATCTTGGATTGAAGCATGAAAACAAACCAGACAAAGACTAACAAGTTTGAGCCTAGCAGAACAAAATTGAGTTGGGTGGGAGTCAAAGGAAAGGAAGATATATGATCAAGACAATGGGAAGTACAACACGCAATATTTAATTAGATTAGATTAGTCCTTTAGGTAGTTACACAATCACAGTACACCAATTCACCAACGTGGTTTTTTTGGGTAGATTGATGACAAGTGCTTTCACAGTTGTGCTTTGCTTTTGGCAAGGATTGCTTCACCAGAAAGTCTATGCTTTTAAAAGCATTTTGGGATTTTATTATAATCATGTTAAAACTTGCATTAAAAATTCAAGTGCCTTCTCCATAAAGCACTTCTACGAGTTAAAATACTCTTCCATTTTTTATGTTAAACGCAATTATAATTGCTTTTGGCTGTCAAAGAGCGTTTTGTAGTAATTCTAGAAATAATTTCAAATAGGCCCACAACTACTTGAGTTACAAGACATTTGCAAATACCATGTTTCTACTAAGATCATCTTTAATTCATGGGATAATGCTTAAAATATAAGCTTTAAAACCTCTCAAACCATCTCCAACCATGTGCTAAAATAAGCCCTAGGGAGAGAATATATCTCTAGGCTAGATTCCCACACGTTTAAGTCTGACTTAAATTATTCTTGACACACCAAACTGTCATATTTCAAAACTTTTTTGTTTTTTACTTATAATTTAACGGTTATGATCAAATGAGATTAAATCTAATTGTAAAAATAAAATTGACAGCTCAAAATTAAATCTAACGTATAAAATAATTGTAAAAAATTATTTAAATCAAGTTTAACTTAAACTTTATAAATACCTATCAGAATTTAAATATTTTTTAGACTAAAATGCTCATAAAAATAAATTAAGACAATCGATATAAATTTTATTTTTAAAAATAGCTACCGAAAAAAAAAAGTTAGGTAAAATCATTATTTTATCATCACATGCTAAAATTTTAAGTCATAAATATTAAAGAAGAAAAGTAATTTCTGATTTATGGTTTAAATTCTTTAACTTTATTCCCAATAATCGATGATAATCTAAAGGAAGAGCCAGAGTTTGAACAGTAAAGTCCTATTTTCCGTACAGAAAAAAGATGAGAACCAACTGAAAGTTGAATCAAGGCCTTATAATTATAAAAAATTCAGTAAAATCAACTTTTTAACTCTTTAATGATTATCAAACAGTCCCTCGTAACCATGTCCCCTGTCGTTATTTTCATATTCCGTTCATCATTGCACAAAAACCAGACAGGAAGAAGATGATTTTTGCAAATTACGGCAGAACCAGATCACATGGTAGTTTTCATTTCAATAATTCATGCTTCTCCTCCTTCCCCATCACAACTTCAAAATACAATAAAAAGAAAAAAACTAAAATAATTTCAGAGAGTGAGTGCAAACCGTTTATTACGAAACCCTTGTGTCCGTTGCAGATGTTTATAACATTTAACACAATTGACCCCAGAAGTAGTAAACTAGGGGGAAAACTCTCAAAAAACAGAAATGCAGCTAACGTATTTACACATATAAGAAGAGCAGCAACACTAAACAACCATGTTGGTTTCAATGTTTAACTTAAGAACCGAAAATAACCGCAACGATCACAAACACACCGAGCAACAAAAAAAGATACTTCAAAACATCACCCGGCTGCCCTTGATGATTTTCCGGCTGAGGGAATCCGTGAGCATGGCCCCCGTGAAATGAACTAAATGACGCATAAGGGAAACCTGAAGTTGTTCCATATACAGTAGCATCAGGGAACCCGTGGTACTGAATGTTAAGCAACGACGGTATCAGACCACCAAATGCAGTCGCCAACGTGAAGTTACCAATCCTTGCAGTTGCCATTGGTACAAATCCGCCCATGAATCCAAATCCATAATTGGCAAAAGGATTGGTATCAGGAGGAGGGGCAGTTTGAGGCCTCTGCGCAGAGGGGCGATTGGGAATGTTGATCCCTGGATATGACTTTGATCTTGGGTCAGTTTGCGTCTTGCCCCTACCATAAAGAGGAACTAACTTCTCGTCGTGTACGAGGGCTTTGCAAACCGGGCACTCTTGGGAATTCGAGTGATGGTGGAGCCATCTGTAGAGGCAAGGCCAGCAAAAGAGGTGGCCGCAAAGGGTTATGATCGGGTCTTGGGCTAATTCGAAGCAAATATTGCACTCGAAGTCTCCTGCATCGTTGGCATTGTTACCCGAGCAAGACGTGCTTTGGGGCGGCACGCTTGTTGACTCCCCAAAACCACTTGCCATCTCAGTAGCCACAACAGTTCCAATACGCAAACACCTGTAATTCATGCATACTCATCACTAATTTTTTACGAATCACCGAAATCCATTAATACTAGAGACATGAATTAGATTCAGATACAGCTGAAACACACAGCTGAATTCAAATACAGAGAAAATATTCAGATTGTTGGTACAATTGGTCTAACTATCAAAACAACAATAACTAAATTAAAGAGTTACATTAGTCCATCTGCAACACACAAAAAACAGAAATCTATGCAAGGGATAAAAATTCTAAACTAAATGCTCAAAGCAGATAACAACTCCCAGAAACATTCACATATTAAATCACAACTCCCAGAAACATTCACATATTAAATCTAGAACAAAATAAGAACAGGGAAACAATTCGAAGCCAAACCGACCTCATAAACCACGCAGACCAAGACAATTAAGCACAAGGAACACAGAGATCAAAACAATTAAGCAAGTCTATCAACATATTGCACAAATTATTCAATATATTACAAAATCCCAAATCCAAATCCCTAATCAATCAACCCTAGAAAATATTCAGAAAACCAAAAAGGAATAAAAAATTAAATTAGAATTAAAACTACCTTTAGGGCGAGTGAAATTTGATTGGGAACCGTAGCCAGAGAGAGAGAGAAGAGAGAGAGAGAGGAAAAATATGCAGCGCTTCGTGGGTATAAAAAGTCTTTGTCTATTAATAGAAGCAGGCAACCGAGGAACTCTATCGTCCCTCTCCCTCCTCCCCTCTGCGTCCCTGTTTGTCTTTCCGTGTGCGCGCGGATTGTGGAAGATTCCAGCCTTTTCCCAAATTTTCCTTTTTATCTTATTCCACGCTGGCGTGCTGTTTATTTATTTATTTTTTTTTTTTTTAAGTATGCGTTCGTTGTATTTCCCACCAAACTGTCCGGATCTCGAACCGACGGTGATATTGCGTTCAGATCCTAATCCGACGGTTTTGCTTCGTCCTTGAGCTTTACTGATGTGATGGCGATGGGTTTTCATGAAGTTCTGGGTGTTTTGCGGGCGTACTGTTATTTACAAAGCATTCATAAAAGTCCGGCCCATACGCATTGGACCTTTTTATGTGTACAACTGATAGCACGTTTACGCTAGGGTATTCAGAATAAAAGCTTATTTGATTTTGTTACAAAATATTTCGGTGTATTAAATATTGGCGAATTAAAAATTTGGTGAGACCCACACAATCTTGGAGTCCAACTAGAACATTCAGAAAAATTGGATTCTCTACAATTTGGTAGTAATAGAATTCGGAGTTATTGGGGGGAATTGGAATGAATATTTCATTTCCATTATATCCTCACTTATTCCTAAAATTTCAAGATTCCTTTTGCATTTGTGCTAGGAAAAAGAGGAAGAAGCCTTAGCTATAAGGGTAGAAGATAGAGAAGCCTAAAGATTATCTAAGAAAGCCCACAAAGAAGGACCCTTGACCTACAATAACGGAGGTTCAGCCGAATGCAAAAAAGGTGACAGAACAAGAGACAGAGAGGAAGGAGAGGAATTCGATGTTGTATTGCATCAAGCAAGGGAAATCACTTCCTAAGTGCAAGCAAACTTGAATCCTAGAGAAAGCCATCTTCTTACAACCTGAAGGTTTCCTCCCAGCTTCCTTTGATCTTCCTTAGTCAATAGAAGCTCACTTAGAACCCTAACAAATCCATATTAGCCAACCCTAAACATCATGTAACCATGCAAAGTTCTCTATCATGCTAAACCAACAAGCTTCTAGCTTCCATGTCACACTTTGCTTAAGCAAGTCATTATTTGTCTAATCACGTTATCTTTGAGCTATTAATCTAACCAAGATACTTCCTAAGAAATGCTAATTCTTTCGATGTATCCTAGGACTTGATATTCAAACGGACCAGTGGAGGTAAAGGGTACCTGTCAAAACCTAAGTTCAACTCGACCTAATAGTCCCCCAACATATACTGAACAAAGTTTGACTACCTTTGGATAGATCGAGAAGTTACTTAAAATTGGAGACTCCCTCGCTAGCCATGAAACTTTGAGTAAAGTGTTCTTAAGGCAGTTCCAAAGATCCTTGACAGTGTCATACCCAATCTTAAAGGTGAGAAAAGGCTTAGAAATTTCACTAGTGATGCAACAGTCAAATAGTTAGTCTAACCAAATCTATGTAGCATAGGCAGGATTAGAAAACTTTAGGGGCTTTGATACCTTCAGTTGCAAGGGTCAAGAAATAGAGGAGAAGGAAGGGGATAAGAACCATCATCAAATTTTCGGAGATTATGACCAACAAGGTGGGATTTCATTTGATGAAGCCATAGAAGATAATTTTGTTCGTTATGTTTGACAAAGCAGGAAGTTTTAGGATTGGGTAACTAAGAAGATGAAGACGACCACATGGAAGAGGACAAAGAAGAACTAATAGGGACGGTTGAGATTTTTTTTGTTTGTTTGTTTCAGCAGCGGCGCCAATTTCTTGATGAGATTCTACCACACACATAATAAGGGTTAAAAACTGGCACGCCCCAATCCCGATGTCCGTGGGACATCAGGATGGTCACGTGTTGGCTAACACCTGAAGGTGACGCAAGCCATTTATGAATGCAAATGCTGAGAACATGTAACAATATGCATATAAATTTCACAGAAATAATAAGATAACAAAATAATATTCAATTGCCAACAATGAATTCATAAAGATGATGCATGACATGTTTAGAGCATATTCTAATTAGAATACAAACGGAAGGTGGAATTACAATGAATTCAAAGCCGAAAGGATAACACGATGTCAACAGTAAGGGAATGCCTCGTAGCTAGGTCTTGAGGGGGCACAAAACAAACATGAGTGGACCAAGTTGATATACATATATATATGTTGATGCACAAAATCCGGAGGATCTTGGACCAACGTAAATCCGGCCTTGAATCATACAAACGCACAAGAACACAAAGATGTATCATGGTTCACTCTAATGTTTGGGCTACGTCCACACTGATGTTGATTCCATTTCACTGTATGTATGTATGGATTACAATATATCGGCAAAAGAGCTTTCTATGGATGCAGCTCTTACCATTTTGGTCTCTATTTGGCTGAAAGGGTATTGCCCTTTATTGTTGTGAGGCTTTTTGGATGTAAGGCTCTGTTTTCTTAATGAGGATGAGGGAGAGTCCCTTTTATAGAATAAGGGTTTTTTCCTCTCTTACATGGGTTATGGGCTCAGTAATGAGGCCCAAAGACAAGGCCTAATTTATGGTACCAACAATATATATATATATATATATATATATATATATATATATATATATATATATATATATATATATATATATAAGAAAACAATTATCAACATACTAACCCCCCAAGCTTTATGAAAACTAATAGCATAATAAGTGATAGGTTTATCTGAAAACCCTAGCATGCCATAAAACATCTCATAAAGCATATCTTGTATAAAATGTGCTAAATAGTGGTATCAAATAATAATATCTCCCGGCCTAATGCCTACTTCTAAGTCTTTACGCCTGTAGCCAGAGATTATTTCTCCTCGCCCAATGCCTACTCCATGTCTCTCAGCCCAAAGCCAGAGATTATTTCTCCCGGCCCACAGCCAACACCATGTCCTCGCCCCTGGCGAAATAGTAACCACTAGATACACACAAAACATTGAACATAAACTTTCCAAACATAGGTACATAGATCTCAAAATCATCTTCATAATATAAAGTCATCCATCATCTATACTATAAAGAAGTGTGAAAACATGTTCTAAATAGTATATCGTCATCCATCAGATACCCTACAAGAACATGGGTTTTATAGAAAATATGGTATTCCAAAATAAACTCAGTATATCATGATAATCAATTTCTCATAAAACGTTCACAAAACGTATTAAGTAAATCATGCTTTTCATGTATGCATTTCTACTATAAAATATGCATTTTAGAAAGGGTCCACTCACATATACTCCGTCGTAGTAGAGCCATATGAAATAGGAATAACGGGATCGCCGTTAGTAATTTCACCTAAGCACATAAAGCATATAATTAATAAACTATACTCAAACGATTTAATTTGGGAAAAAGGACGTCAAAAACAGGTCCAGGACATCGAAATTAGCCTAAGATGGGTTTTAGACGAAACCCAAAAAGTCAACGGTCAACATTGACTGGTCAATGTCAACTGTCAGTGTTGACTATGTCAAAGTCAATGGGTCCGAATCAAAGGGTCAAACCAAGTTGAACCAATTTACAGTTGGATCCAGGTTGGGTCCAAAAGGCTTGGGCCGATTAGGGCCCTATGGGTTTGGGCCTAGGGTTTTAAGTGGGCTGGGTTTAGGGTTTAATGTTAATGGGCCGAAGGCCCAATTTAAGTAGCCTAAAGGCCTGCCCCTTACAAGGTTCTAAAAGGTTTGGAAGCCCTAGATTGCACGGACACGGGCCTAGGCTTGAAAGCCCAGCCCAAGGTTTTTGGGTTTCAAAAGAAAAGAAAATAAAAGTAAAAACTGAGAGGCTTGGGTTTTTAGGTCTAACGGCTAACGGGCCTAAGGCCCGAGTCACAATAGCCCAAAGGCCTGGTTTCATTCTCTCACCAAAAAAAGGAGGCCGGAGTCTCCCATGCTTCGGTCGACGCCAAAACTAAACCCTAGACTCCAATCTAGGTGTCAAATTGAAGAAGGAGGTGAGATGAGTAATTTAGTACCTTTTGTTCGTCATGAAAGGGACCGGAGGTGGCCTGATTATGGGTTTTGAAAGTCGAGGGTGCGCGGGGTTCTTTGGGTGTCTCTGAGCTTGCAGAGACGAGAGGAATAAAGGAGAAAGTCCACGAGGTGATGGTGGTGGTGTTGTCGACATCGGGGTGGCAATGGTGCCTCGGCGTGGGTTCAATCGGGAGAGAGTGAGAGAGACGAGAGTTCGAGAAAGAGAGGTGAGTGAGATCTTTGAGAAAAAGAATAGTGAGCTGAGAGGGAGAGACTCGGGAAAGGAGAAGAGAGAGATATGGGATGAGTTAGGGTGGTGCCACGTGGCAACATGGGGGAGAAGGGAAATCTAGATGGAGGGTCTGGATTAAATTGGGATAGGGGACCAAATTGTACATCTTTATAAACTTTCAAGGACAAAATGAAATTATAAATTAATAATGGGGGTGGGGTTTCACAAAAACACCTAAAATACTTGCAAAGAAACAAGATAATCGTAATATAGTCGGCTCTAACAAGTTTGTCCTTCAAATCTCAATTAATTATTTAAAAACAAAGTTTTGGAAAGATGAATTTATTACCTAAATTAGCAAAAACGAATTTAATTAAAAAATTAGAAAAATCTGCAATATTAAAGAGAAGGAAAAGAAAACAATTTTTAGAAATTAAGTTGTAAAAGCACTAGGGTTCCGTCATTACATTAACAATCCTACGTAGTTTTCCTAATTACTTATGACTTATACATGCATATTTTGAAGGTTAGGTTAGGTTTTCTTAAAACTATGATCTAATTGGACCCCCAATCTAGAACGTATATCAAACATGTAACCCGCCTGTGGTATTCAGATCAAATCTAAACATGCAAGACTCATTAAGTTTTGTGAAAACCCTTGAAAAACTATGCAATCCTTAAGAAGTCTTAGTCAATTTTAGGGACTAGCCTCCAACCAAAATTGCATCAAATTACTTGTCTAAAAATCCAAATGGTTGCGAATCACCAAGACACTTAGATAGTTTAAACTGGTGATTGATAATTCAAAACCTGCATGCATAATATCATTAGCAAATGAAAAGAAACTACATATTTTTGCTAAGCCTC